CCCGCAAAAAGAGTGAGAGGATCCTGAAACTGCTGCCGAAAGTACGCTAGCATCAGAGGGGCCAAGGCAGGACTAGAAAGTATATTATGCGGAAATCCCAGCACTGAATTGTGAGGATGAAGGTCGGCATAACGATCGAATTTCTCTTTAATTTTAATTTTAGTTGATATATGTTTATGAAAGATGTGAGGAAATAAAAAAGGAAAATGTGAATAAGTTAAGATTAAAATCTGAATGGGAATGTTTCGGTCCATCAAGTCGCATACATTCCTATTCAGTATATGTTTTTTCCATTTCTTGAGAAGTAGGGCTGGGTGCATCCCCTATGGAGACCGGAGCATTACCCCTGCCATCCGATTCCTCATGCCTAGCGCCATCTTAGTAAAATCATATGTTCCACACTTGTAGTATGAGCAACTCCCGGTGGATTTTACACTTACCCAGCCAAGTTTTAGAGAAAAAATGTTTATATTCATCAGGTACTCTGGATCCAATCAAATATGCAAGCATGTACATCGGGTCCGAGGCACCAACGATTGCGGTTTTCGGGAAATGCTCCGCATCATCCACGAAAACAATCAGTGGTTTATTGCACTCCGGTGTATCTCTAAAAAAAAAAAATTGCAATTTGCAGAAGTACTCCATCTCCAAAAATTAGTGAAAATATTCGATTCGCTACCGTTTCAATGCAAATTCAAAACAGCTGGCAATTTTTTTCCACTCACACGATTCTGAGAGATGCCGTATTTTCATAGCCCCATATATGCGGGCAAAAAATTCTTACCACTGCCTTTCCTAATTAATGCCCGTTTAATATTGTATGAATAGAAGGATTTCACTTGAATGTCACGTGTTTGAAGACATGGCATTTCAACGCAATAAATGGTCCATTCCGCGTAGTTCGGCTGCCCGTTATACTGCCTTTCAAATATACTGGTAATTGAGCTACAGTTCGGACCGTATTAACACGAAAAGCATTAAAAAATTCGATCGAGTGCATCGATGCGGGGTGCAGAGCGTGTTGCACAGCGACATTCCCGCACATCGATCTTGAGTTTTCGGTGAGTTCCTACTTCAGAGAAGCAAACTGAACGCACAAAACCAACAAGAATCATACTACTTCTGTAGGAAAGGACGCATGCAAATGCAGATATTTTTTGTTTTGCAACTTACCTCCAGAAAACGAAACGACCCAGCTGACAAGACGCTAACGGTTGCATTTCGGGCAGATCGGTGGCATGTCTGTGGCGCATCAAGCACTCTTCCTTGTCCACCCCCTTGCGCATATGACCGGCGAGATAGTCAAAAACACCGCACAGCCGCAAGGATTTTATACTTTTGAAGACATCTGCAACATGCTACGAACTCATTAGCTCTCTCTGTGCGCTCAAATTCATTTTTTGCATAAATGAAACAATTAATTCATCGGCTGCCCAATGAATCATTACAAAAAGGCAGTACGGGCCTGAAGGGCCCTGTGAGGAAAAGAAGAAAGGGCCGGAACAGCGGCTCCGTAGCTAAGAGTATTATTCGGATGGGCGTCAAAATTCGTGCCTGAAATGGGAAAGC